AAATTAATCAACGCCACAAACCCCAGAGAACTCACAGAAATCTTCCAGTTTTACAGAGAAAGAAACACAGCTAGCTTTTATCAGGGATGGGACCAACACGTGCCTTTTAGGAGGATGCCCTCCCTACCCCCCACCCCCACGAAGGTCTGTGTGTCAGGAAGCCACTGGGGAGCAGGCCAGGTGAGGCAGGCCACTCCTTTCAGAGAGAGCCCAAAGCTGCCAAGTGTCCATCCGATGGGTGTCCTGTGTGACCTCAATGGCTGGGCAGTTCCTACTGTACGGCGTCACCTCCCTAAGTCCCCTGATGTCCTTTTATCCTGAACCGACTGACAGATCACACCTCCCTGAGAAATGTGACAGTCTAGGTCCTGAGCAGCAAAGAAAGCTTAATCACAGGTGTTCTCGGTGTGCCCCCCCCCCCCATCTCTATGTCTTTCAGGAAACAGGAGGTACTCAAGATGCGTTCTGAGCCACTCTGGTACCCCCTCCACTTCTTTACTGTTCTACCAGGGCTTGGAAAGCTCAGTCTCACACATCAAAGAGACGTAGGCTTTAGTGTCAAACGTGGAGACCTAAATTCTAATTCTGCAAACTCACCCATTCTATAATCCTCAGCCAGCAATAACCTCTGGGGAGTCTGCTGTTAGCTGTAAAACCGAATCCGGAAAAACACCTGTTTTTGCAAAGTCTCATGAGGAGCAAGAGAGAGAGCACACAGCGGGGTGCCTCGCACTCGGTAAGCACTCAACAAGGAAGACTGGGCTACTCTGCTGCTCATGTTTCCTGGCTTGTCTCAAGACCTAATGAAAGGAGCCTGGCTCCAGAGTTCTCAAGCTGGCTGGGCGATCTGACAGATGCCCTGGGTCAGCAACACTGTGGAAGTGCCTACTTAAGCTCTTAGGGCAGCCACTGGCTTCCAGGCTCGCCTAATGTCCCAGAAACCAAGTCCTAAGCATTCAACCTCTACCCTGCGGCAAGGTCTGGGCCGTCGCTGGTCACTGAGTCACTGCTCAAAGGCTTTGCTACCAAACTGTGCCAGCCAAGACAGGGGTCTATCCAGAGGCTCACCACCACTGCAGATTCCGTCTACTGTGACCCCCCAGTCAAGCTCCTACAATACCAGGGACTTTTCAGCCTCTGTTACAGCATTTCTTATGTGAAGTTTTGGTTTCATTTCACTTCTTTCCAACTTACCATCCAACACCTTGCACAGACCCTGACACAGGCTCAGAGGTTCAGGGCACGCTACTGAAATGAACGACACTGGATGTGTGGGAGCAAGAGAGGCTACCTGCATGCCAGTGGGCTCTCCAGCTCTTTTGCCAGCGCATCTATGGAGGTTGGTGAGAACCTGCTCAAGTGTGTGACTTGGAAGGGTTTCCCCTGTTCATCAACCTTTCCTCCCATGAAGACATACATAATGCCTGCTGCCTGATTCTGGCCTCCTTATGACCCTAAGACCCCACCCCCACCTCACGCATCAACTCACTGTTTCCATGCACGTGTTTCCGAGAATGACTGTGTGCAGTACCCATACTGTGCCTTCCTCAAACTGGGAACTCCCTGAGGAGTTCTCCTCTGAATGGCTCTGACATTCCAGGCACTTACAGGCCGTACTGCGGCTGTAGAATACATGTTCATGGGAGATGGGATTTGGGAAAGCTAAGGAGCCTCCATCTTGTCCCAGAAGTCCTTATGGGTGTTTCTCCACCAAACTGCAGCAGCACCTGTACCAGGGTTCAGCTCCACACAGAACCACCACCCTCTTGCTGCCTAAGCTAGGGATCTGCTAGCACCTCGAGCCTCACCTTCCGCCCCCACCCTTTCCCAGGCAGTCAATGTCAAGATCAGCTCTGAGCTACTATTCCAGATGGCTGTGGGCAAGAAGGTCTGGTACCAGGGATTCGGGATCCTGCTGTTCAGCATCCTTGTCTGCGCATACTCACTCAGGCTTATCTATGTGAGTTGTCTGGTGACCTGTCCACCTCGTCCATTACACCAGGGCTCTGAAACACCTGACTCTGCCCTTGCTTTTCCTCTCTGATCTCAGTGGCAGCAAATCACAGGGTAAATATGCAACCTGTCTGACTTAGGTTTCTCTCCTTCACCCCCCCAAGGCCTCCCTCCAGCCAAACACAGTAAGAACACAACTATTCTGCCCCTTCCTTTATGACTTCCCAAATATTTCTTCTTTTAAAGACAGAGAGAGAGGCTCACACACACACACCCAACTGTTGGGTGCTTTCAGAGATCTCTGGCCTCCAAACCAGCCAGGGAGAGAATTATGTCGACAGAAGTGGGAGCGAGTTGTGACAGATGATCAGAGGCATCCTGTCCCCGAGTCACTGCAAAAAAAAAAAAAACAAAAAAAAAAAAAAAACAAACCCAGGACCCTCCTGTGAGCTGCCCCCACCTCAAAGCCAGAACGGAACCTCCGGATCTCAGCCACCTCCTCAGCGTGCTGCTGGAAGGACCAGCCCTGTAAACCGAGCCTGTTCCAGTCCACAGGGAGCCACCCCAGCAGTCAGTTCCACCTGAGCCAGCCACTGAAGCACCCTTGGCAGGTCCTGCCCCAGCTCTCCGGGGAGCTGGCTCTGCCGTTAGTGTGCCTGGATTTAACTCTCGGTAGCTCCTGTGATGCCAAACGAGGGGGCAGGGGCTGAGAGTCGTGGCACAAAACTGGGAAATATGTAGGCTGCTATCAGAAACCCCCGTCTGACCTGAGCCCCAATCACGCACTCCAACGTCAGAGCCTTGATCCAATCAGCTCCCGACAACAACTGCAGGTGATGCTTCCCAGATACCAGGAAAAGCTGGCAGCCTGGAGGCCCCGATGCCAGGGGAAGCTTCCAGCCCTGCCCCCATTGGTGACGGGGAGGGGACAGAGAAGGGGGACAAAGCCGGGGTAGTCCGTTTCCCAACAGCACGTCCCCTGCCTGAACGCGGTCTGAGGGCCGTACGGAACACCACATCCCACATATCAGTCCGCAGTCTCCAGCACCTCAGTATTCCAACTGTGGCCGAGCTGCGGTTTGTGCCTGACCCCCTCCATTACGCCTCTGGATTTCAGAGGAGGCTCTGAGACTGGGAAGGGGGAGGCCGGGCCCCTATTTTACAGAGGTAAACACAATTTCTGGGGTTGTGTCTTTTTTCTCGGTAACATCATATTCTCTCTCTCTCTCTCTCTCTCTCTCTCACACACACACACACACACACACACACACACACACACACCTTCAGCCTAATCCAAAGACTAAAGGTAGAAAATTTTCCCTCTCTGAAGAACCCGCTTCCTTGGGACAAAAGGTGGAATGTACCGGATGGGAAGCAGCTCTGGCCTCTCTCTCCAATGTCTCTCCTGCATGCGATTCCACCTGATCAAGCATCTTCAGCCAAAGGGAGGACAGAGCTCCCCCCCCCCCCCGCTTTCCTCTGCCTGCCCCCCACAGCCACATCTGGCAGGGCCCCCGATTACCCGGGTCTTCCTTGCTCCACCCCTCCCCCCACTCCACCCCTGCCCGGGGCGGCTTCCACTTAGGCTTAAGTTCTATGGGATCTGAACCTACCCATCTCTAGCCCTATTCAAACCACATCTCCTGCCCACCCAGGCCTGTGCCCTTGCCATGCTGGAGATGGGATCTGGGCCCAGCAGAGCTCACCTCAGTTCCAAGGTTAGAAGAGACTCACCAGAGCCTCCTATCAGGAAAAGAGAAAGGCAAGACGAGGAATATTGTCATCTCCTCATCCCCTCTTCTAGACTTAGAGGAGGCATCTTTGTCCAAACACACACACACACACACACACACACACACACACACACACACACACACACGCCCTGCCAGAAGCCAAGGGAGGACTCAAAAGCAGACCCCGGCTCAGGGAACGAGAGGGGCTGCTGCAGAGACCAGAATCTCAGTGATTCAGCACTCTGCCCACTCCCGGCCCCGCCAGGGGCCACACTCATGACCATTCCCGATGCCAGAGTGCTGCTGACTTGGAAGCTGAGGGAGAATCCTTGCCAGGACCCCCAATTTCAGACCCTCCGGCCCGGAACCCGGGACAGTTCTCAGGAGCCTGTGGACCATTCCCTCCGACCTGCCTCTTCCCCCAGCCTCACGCCCTCCCCTGAGCCGTCTAGGAAACAAACCAGAACAGTTCCAGGAGGGGAGAGGACCACACAGTGGCCTGTTCACCCAAGTATCTCTCTCGGCGGCGAGCTGTGAACAGGCTCCAACACGCAGCAAAGGGCTTTAAGGAATTGCACCCACAGCAGCGAACACCCGGCCCGCAGAGCCCTAGGCCTCTGTGGCAGAGCAGGACGCTGCATGAGTGGGTAGGCTGAGCACAAGCCTCGTCAGCGCAGGGTCTACACCACCAGGAAGGGCAGGTGGAGAAGGTGATGGGTAGTAGGCCAGCTAGAAGCCAAGGCGAGAAGGGGAGCTGCTCCAGAGGGAGTATGCTGGATGAGGAGACAAGGAAGCCGCTGAGAAGGGGCTGGGACAGGGTGTGCAGAGGGGAACTGGAAGGGGAGCTAAGGAGACCAGCACAGCGCAAGGCCACTGGGTCAAGAGATAGAAAAGGATGCCGGAGGGCGAGCAGAGGGGCCGCGGGCGGGGCAGGAAAATAGAGACGGAATGGGGAACTGAAGAGTGAGGTGTGGAAGGAAGAAGCATGGGGGTGGGCTGGCAGGACTCAAAAGATGAGGCTGAGACAGAGAGGAGCGGGGAAGAGCGAGGAAGAGGGATGGATGTTGCCAACCGAGTCTGAAAGGGTGTTGGGGTGGAGAGGGAGGAGAGCGGGGAGGGGGAGACCGCCAGAATCCGGTGGATTCCGGGCAGGTGGCTGTGCGGAGGGAAAACGGCACAGGGATGTGGATGGAGGGGGATGGGGCAGGTCGGGGGATGCAGATGGACAGAGAAGGGTGGAATCGAGGAGGTGCCGATCCATGGGCTTCTACGACCCTGTACTGCTACCCTACCGGGTGTCCGCGCTCGCCTTACCTCCAGGAGCTCCAGCTCCAGCCCTGGGCGCAGTCCCAGATGTCCGCTGCCGGCGCCGCCACTTCCCCCGCGTCCCCTGCAGCGCCTCTCGCTGCCAGCCGCCGCATTAGGGCAGAGACTAGCCCGTGCGCGCCCCCGGGCGGCCGGCGCGTCCCCGACGGCCTGCGTGCGCGCCCCCGAACCCCTCCCTGCGCGCGAGGACCTGGGACCAGGACTCAGGAGCACGGGAAGATGCTCAGGTGCCACCACGCGCCCAGCGCTCTAAGGAATAACTCGCAGAGCCAGAGTCTGGGAACCCTGTTTCCTCCCTTGATCTTGGGCGTTCCTTCCGCAGAGTGGCACTCAGTGTCGCAGGACCTGGAGCCAGAACTGTGGCAGGTCTGTCCTGTTAATGACCCCTTTATCTGTGACTTCTTAGGGTCAGGAATTTGTCCACAGCTTTGGAGGGCCTAGCTCAGCAATGCTCATGGTCTGCCCTCCAAGTGTTCCATGGATGGAAGAGTTGTCCATCCGAAACTGACAAGGGAAAACCCTTGAGAAGATGGCAGGCAGCTCTTGTTTTAAAACTGGAAGATTTGTTATGTGCACGGGAGACTCGGATTACTGTCCCAGATTTGAGTTAGAGTGGGAAAAGCCTTGAACCTGGAGACCACACATCCAAATGTTAGCTCTTGCCTAGTGACTGAGCAGGTGTGCGAGCATGCAAACTGGGCGGCATCTTTGCGGTGAGTGATCCCTCCTCCTTGACGGGGAGAGCCTATTAGGCCTCAGCTAATGTGCGCCGCCTCAAAACAATAAGAAGGCCCAATCAGAATCTTAGTCTTGAAAAAAGCCCTTGGGGCCGGGCGGTGGTGGCGCACGCCTTTAATCCCAGCACTCGGGAGGCAGAGCCAGGCGAATCTCTGTGAGTTCGAGGCCAGCCTGGGCTACCAAGTGAGCTCCAGGAAAGGCGCAAAGCTACACAGAGAAACCCTGTCTCGAAAAACCAGAAAAAAAAAAAAAAAAAAAAAAAAAAAAAAAAGAAAAAAGCCCTTGGAAGCGGCTAGTTCCGCTCCCCACCCAAAGCTTCAGCCCCCTAGACAGTACCCCTCTGAGATTCCTTCTGTGCTCACACCCAGGTACCACCTTCACTGGGATCTGACCCCCCTCTGCCTGCCTCAGCCCTGCCCCACCCCCCAACCAGTGTGCTCAGGAAAAGACAGGATAGAGATCCTTCCTGCCTCAGCCACTGACAAAATACCCTCTCTTCAGGTAGGGGCTTCCAAAACCCACAGCTGCAGATAACAGAGACTACCCCAGGGAGAAGGGAGGAGGCCAACTTGAAAGGCTGGAAGGAAGACTGCCCCCAGGTGTCAGAACCTGGGACAAATATTTTCTTCAGGGCTCCCCAAATCAACAGTTCAGCATCACCCTGGTATCAGTTCTGAGAAGGAGACTCCATCCCGGTGACACCAAGGAGCCGGGCAACCCAACCAGAGGGTCAGGAAGTCAAGGTCTGGGAAGCTCTGAAGGAGAGATCTCAGAAACCGTGTGGATGCTGCTCCTGGCCCCTGGTAAGTCCCAGACCCCTGATGGACTCTTAGAAGACTTGGAGGAAAGCACTTAAAACCCTCTGGAGCCTCAGGTCTGGATGCAGGGCAGGGCTCCCTGACCCCCCTTTACTACTGTGTCCAGTGGTGACTGGTCCATGAAGCAAAGGATTCTTCCATCCAAGAGGCCCAGTTCTAGGGCTGCATCTCACTGTGCAGGCCTACAGTGGCAGGAGGCAGCTTTCTTTAGGTGCTAATGCACAGTGGCTATGGCGACTACTCTCGAGGCATCTGCTGGACTCCAAACGTCATCCTCACCATACCAGACCTGGAAAACAAGTCATTTACTTATTTTCTTTTTATTGTTTTTGTAAAGATTTCTTTATTTAGTTTCCTAGGTATGGGTGTTTTGCCTACATGCAAGTCTGTGCGCCAGGTGAGTGCAGCTCCCAAGGAGGCCAGAACAGTGTCTCTCTTCTCTACAAGCAACCCTCTTCCACAGACTTCCAAGGAGAAGCAGGGACACAAGCAGATTTGTCCATTATCGATGGAGAATTAACTTGGTATGGCCTTGGGGAGAGCAATTTGGCAGGATCCCTGAGACTCTGAATGTCCCTACCATCGGTGCCACCTTTAAGAATCTGGCTGGAGGGGCTGGAGAGATGGCTCAGAGGTTAAGAGCACCGACTGTTCTTTCAGAGATCCTGAGTTCAATTCCCAGCAACCACATTTTTTTTTTCGAGACAGGGTTTCTCTGTGTAGCTTTGTGCCTTTCCTGGAACTCGCTTTGGAGACCAGGCTGGCCCCGAACTCACAGAGATACACCTGCCTCTGCCTCCCGAGTGCTGGATCTGTAATGAGACCTGGCGCCTTCTTCTGTATACATAATAAATAAATAAATCTTTAAAAAAAAAAAGAATCTGGCTGGAGAGATGGCTCAGAAGTTAAGAGCACTGACTGCTCTTGCAGAGGACTTGAGTTCAGACTCTGTCGGGAGTCTTACAACCACCTATAACTCTAATCCCAAGGCATCTGACACTTCTGGTACTTGTGGGCAGTTGCACACACACACACACACACACTCACACACACACACTCACACACATTCATACACACACTCACATACATACACACATACACTCTCTCTCATACACACACACACACACACACACACACACTAATCAAAATTAAAAATAATACAAGTAACTATTTAAAAGGGAATCTGGACTGCAGAAACATGGCACAAGTTACAGGGGTGTAAATGCAAAGACGGTGAGTGTGGCCATGCGAAGGCAGTGATTGGACACTGTGATAATGCATGTGGGGGGGGGCACAGCGGCAGCTTCTGAAACATGACACTGATCTCCTCAGATTAAAAGGAAGTTACAGCAGGCAGAGTGGTCTCTCTCGCTGGCGGAAGAATAGAGCAAATTGGGACAAGGTTAGGAACAAGAGGAAGCGATGGCCTGGTCCAGGTTAGGAGACTAGATCAGAGTTGTAAGGGGACCAGGAGGGACCCAATCTTCGTTGAAGCCTTTCACAAGCCAAGCCTTTTGTCACTTAATCCTCAGAAGAAGCCAGCAAGGTGTGAATTGTTTCACCCCCTCACTAATGAGGAAAGAGACCTGAGGGGCTGTAGGGGGCCACAGGGGAGACTGAGGCAGAGGACTGACCCGAAGGCGCTTGCTTTGTCTGTTCTTGGTTCCTGAGTGGTACCCTCCAGGCCATCAGAATGCTCTGCCGTATAGGCCATGGACGTCTCCTGGGGTCCTTGGGCTGTACCTGGTGGTCTGTCTGTGCTAGCGATGTTGAAGCATGGTAGGTGGGAATCCAACAGGCCTCCAGGAGGTCAGCACCACCACTACCACACTCCCTGCCCCGCCAACAAAACCAAAGTAACCGAGTCCCATAAAAACTCTGCCATCACAGCTGCTGAGGCCTCATGTAGTGTCTCGGGACCAATCGGAGCTGTCCAGACCTCCATTGAGACAGGATGGCTGGGGGTTGCTCTTGGGACTCTCTGGAAGCTGCAATGCCCGTTGCCTCTCTGTGCCCTTTCACAGCGATCGACCACGGCCACACACTAGCTCTCATGAGCACCGGAAGTCCTGCAGCAAGCTGCTGGCCTGAGCATGGTTATGGGCTGCCCCCTAAATTTATATACCGTACTAAGGAAACTGGTGTGTGTGTGTGTGTGTGTGTGTGTGTGTGTGTGTGTGTGTGTGTGTGAAGGTCTCCAAGGCCATGGTGGACCTCATACCCACTGCCTCACATCCTGTTCTGCCATGGCTGACTGGGACAAATTTGCTGGCATCATGCAGAATAACAAGAGCAGAGTGACAGGCACGCAGAGCTGGCAGAGTGGCTGGCTGAGGGTGTAGACAAAGCAAACCAAATAGTGTCTTGGTTCAGAGGAAACACAAAAGTACAGGTCTGCCGAGGCTCCGGGAAAGCGGGGGTGGGAGGGAGTGGGGTGGGGGGCTTGTGTCCCTGCTTCTCCTTGGAAGTCTGTGGAAGAGGGTTGCTTGTAGAGAAGAGAGACACTGTTCTGGCCTCCTTGGGAGCTGCACTCACCTGGCGCACAGACTTGCATGTAGGCAAAACACCCATACCTAGGAAACTAAGTAAAGAAATCTTTACAAAAACAATAAAAAGAAAATAAGTAAATGACTTGTTTTCCAGGTCTGGTATGGTGAGGATGACGTTTGGAGTCCAGCAGATGCCTCGAGAGCAGACGCCATAGCCACTGTGCATTAGCACCTAAAGAAAGCTGCCTCCTGCCACTGTAGGCCTGCACAGTGAGATGCAGCCCTAGAACTGGGCCTCTTGGATGGAAGAATCCTTTACTTCATGGACCAGTTACCACTGGACACAGTAGTAAAGGGGGGTCAGGGAGCCCTGCCCTGCATCCAGACCTGAGGCACCAGAGGGTTTTAAGTGTTTTCCTCCAAGTCTTCTAAGAGTCCATCAGGGGTCTGGGACTTACCAGGGGCCAGGAGCAGCATCCACGTGGTTTCTGAGATCTCTCCTTCAGAGCTTTCCAGACCTTGACTTCCTGTCCCTCTGGTTGGGTTGCCCGGCTCCTTGGTGTCACCGGGATGGAGTCTCCTTCTCAGAACTGATACCAGGGTGATGCTGAACTGTTGATTTGGGGAGCCCTGAAGAAAGACAATGATGCCCCTCCCGCCCTGCCCTCAAGAACCCGGAATCGCCAGCCTCTGCTCCTGTCTCTCCTCAAAGCCTCCTACCTTGAGCCAGGAGGAAAAGCCACAGCCCACTTTGTCTATGGAACGCGGGAAAGAAGGGTGAGAAAACAGGACGGGGCTCTGAGACTTCTCCCAGGTAGCCAGGCAACCACAGACCCGTCCCCCATCACCCCGTCACACAGGGCGGCAGAATGCAAGCCGAGCCTGGCTTCCCACAGGCCCTCAGCACCTCCCTCACTGAGACACTGCAGAGATGCTCTGACTTCTCTGCTCTCAGCCTAGAGAGGTCAGAGGTCAGAGTTCAGGGGCACCTTTCTGCCTACTTTCCTATTTCCCACTTGGACATTAAAAAAAAAGAAAAAGAAAAGAAAAAAGATTTGCTTGGGGATATGCCTCCT